TGTAATCACATTACATTGTAATGTACCAAACGCCACCTTAAATTATTAGATAGAGACTGAAAACAAGATACTGTATAATCACTGAGAGTACATGTCAAGTGGGAGCCTAGGCTGTGCCACAGCCTCAAGTGGGAATTTTTTAGGAGTGGAAAGCCCGAAAGTTTCCTCCATATTGAGATCTTCTTTTGCCATGTTACCAGGCAATTTCCAAGTAAACCCATGTAAAAGATTAGCCAAACTTGCTTGAATGACCTTAATCCCGAGAGGATATCCAGGGCACATCCTCCTTCCAGCCCCAAACGGGAGCAGCTCAAAATCATGTCCTTTGACATCGATAGCCTTCCCAATGAATCTGTCGGGGCAAAATTCATCGGGGTTGTCCCAAAGAGTAGGGTCTCTCCCGATTGTCCATACGTTTACGAGAACTCTAGTGTCCTTAAGAATGTCATAACCAGCTATTTGGCAGTCTGCTCGAGCAAGGCGAGGCACCAGCATGGGTGCCACAGGGTGCAAACGCATAGTCTCTTTAGCAATTGAGTTGACGTAGGGTAGGTTCGCAATGTCATTTTCTTCTACCCATCTATCTCTGCCGATTACCCTGTCTAGTTCTTCCGTGGCCTTCGCAAAAATTTCTGGCTTTTTCAAAAGCTCCGAAAATGCCCATTCTATGGTCACTGCTGAACTCTCGGTTCCACCAGCTATCAAATCCTGAAACATCCGTAATTCAAATATTACTAAAAACATAAACTAATGTTGCCCAAAATGAGAAATCAACTGTCCATTTACTTTTCTTTTCTTTTTCTTTTGTAAAGGAAATTTTCTGATAGGTGTAACTCCATCTTCCATAGGCAGAAAGGGAAAGCAACCAAAAAGTCTTTAATAATTCATATTAAAGCCAAAAACAATAAAAAAAATTTAGTGATGCACGGAGCCCACTGGGAAGCGCACTACACAAACATCACATCTGTGTGTCTGCTTCACCAATAACAACAATAAACAATGACTTCACCATCTTTTAATTAAGAAGTTACTCAGTTTTTTTTCTCTCCTTTTTTACGTGGAAGAGAATGGCTACTTTAATTATTTATGATGACAAGAAATAATGAAGTCTGAATATGCATTCCATTATTGATATATCCTTTGTGCAAGAAGGTTATTTCCCTTCTAAGTGGGGATGGAAACTGACTTGCAGGTCCCTCCTTTTGTTATGCTATGAGTATCCAATTTCTTTCTTTTTTTCATTTTTAGCTTAAAGTCGGAGTGATATGATGGCAACTATACATCGACCTTTCTAGTAAATTGCAAGGAAATTGAAATGATCAAGGACTTGATGACTTGATCTAGGTCAAGACTCAACAAGGCACCACTCAATTTTGAGTAGACAGCCAGACAGCGAACAGAAAATCCACGAACGTGTATTCTTGGTTTATATTTTATAAACAAACAGAAATTTCAATAAATATTCTATTTCTCTATTGGCTAAAAAAATGATCTTTTTACGCACATAGAGAGAGAGAGAGAGAGAGAGAGAGAGGGGGAGGGAGGTGACCCGTTACCTGAGTAAATGCCTTAACACCATTCCTTTCAAGCTTGACATCAAGATTGGGATCATCAGCTAGCTGCAAAAGCACATCCACCATATCCTTAGCAACATAATCTTTGTCCCCTTTTCTCCTAGCATTATGTTCATCCAAAACGTGCTCCAAGAATCTGTCGAACTTCTTGCTCAGTGCCTTCATTCTCTTAATATAACCTTGCAAATCCAGGAAACTGAGCCAGGGAATCGAGTCGCCTATATCCAGCACCCCGTTAAGCAGGAACAACTCATCAAGCATCTCCTTGAACTCCTTCGGGGAGACAATCTCATTTTCACCAGTCCCATCCGTGTATTTTTTCCCCAACACCATTCTACTGATTACGTTAAGACTCAAACTCGAAAGATGATCTTTCAAACAAATTGGGGTACCGGATAAGCTGTACAAGCCTTTTAGGAACAAATTCATTTCTTCTCTTCGGATATACTCGTATGACTCTAGGCGTTTCGCACTAAAAAGTTCTGTTAGGCACATTTTACGTGCTTGACGCCAATACGGGCCGTACGGCGACCACGTAATATCAGAGTAATCGTAAGTAGTGTATTTGCCTGCGGCAATTTTAGGCCGGCCAGCGAAGGTAACATCATGAGTTCTAAGAATACTCTTGGCAATTTCAGCAGAAGAGCCCACGACAACGGGGAATGACCCGAACCGAAGTTGCATGATGGGCCCATATTTTTGGGAAAGGGCATGGATGGACCGGTGGGGAAGCGAGCCCATGAGGTTGAGGTTGCCGATTATGGGCCAGGGCTTTGGACCCGGCGGCAAGTTGAGTTGACGGCGACGGCGGAGACGGAGGGAGAGGAGGACGATGGCTAGTGTGGCAAGCCATGCTGCTAAGTAAGAGGCCCAAGATGGAGTTTCCATTTATTCTGTTATCTAGTAATGGGAATGGGGATGGGATGGAGGTGATGATGATGTACAAAGAGTTGAGTGTGAAAGGGTCGCAATGAGTAGCTTGTATTTATAGACGAAAAAAGGAAA